TCTTTAGGGTTTTTTATGTACAATATCATGTCATCCGCAAATAGTGACAGTTTAACTTCTTTACCAATTTGGATTCCTTGTATTTCTTTGTTTGTTTAATTGCCGTGGCTAGGACCTCCAGTACTCCAGTACTATGTTGAATAACAGTGGGGAGAGTGGGCATCCCTGTCTTGTTCCCGATCTTAGAGGAAAACCTTTCAGCTTTTCACTGTTCAGTATGATGTTGGTTGTGGGTTTATCATATATGGCGTTTATTATGTTGAGGTACCTGCCCTCTGTACCCATTTTGTTGTTGAGTTTTTATCATGAATGGATGTTGAATTTTGTTGAATGCTTTTTCAGCATGTATGGAGATGATCATGTGGTTTTTGTCCTTTTTGTTTATGTAGTGGATGATGTTGATGGATTTTCGGATGTTGTACCATCCTTGCACCCCTGGGGTGAATCACATATGTTCCTTTTCAATTAAAAAGAAAGATTAAAAATGTTGCTTCTTCCCCTTCCAATTTTTTAATTCAAGTGTTAGGTAGGTATTAGATTTTTAGAAAGAAAGGAAAACTAGAATTTAACTTTTGTGCCATTGCCTGATTTTTAGCAAATCATTTTTATTAGCTGATCTTTCAAAAGGACTATATAGATAGTGCTTTCAATTAGTATACCAAAATGCTGTCATGTGTAATTATTGGTTTTAATATGTTTGGTATAAGTTGTAAAACCCTACAGGGTTGTAAACCTTATAAAAAATCTTGGAGTAAAATATTAGTGCCAGGCCCTTCTATTAACATTCATAGTGATAAGACTTTGTACATGCTTAAATTAGAAAAAATACATATAACCTTGCTTATAATGAAATCTTTTGTACTTTAGATGGACCAGTCTTATAATCCTGATGAAAATGAAGTTCGAACTCTCTTTGGTCTTTGTTTAAGCCAGAAGAGAAATAATGGTGTCATCAACAGGTCATTGTTCAGCAATGTTGTTACCAAGAATAAAGATGTAAGTTTGAAAATATGTGAACTAAACACTAGTACTTTAGTAGGTCTGTTTTTAATATTTATAAGGTTATGCATTTATTAAGGCATCTAAAATTGATTGCTGTGCAAATGGCTAACTCATCTCTGAATTGTCAAGTAAGTTTGAGAGCTTAAAGAATGAATAAAAGACTCTATTAGAAGCTTCTGTGCATATGTCCATTCATGGAGATATGTATCTTCCATTGTACATAAATGGGATTGTGTCTTTTATAATTCTAATCTGTAATTTTCCCCTTTCTAATCTGTAACTAAGCTACAGATGTGTTTCTATAATAATACATAAAGGTCCACAGCGTCATTTGAAAGGCCACCTGGTAATGCACGAATAGATACATTATCATGGGTATTTAGGTTTCCGTTTTCCATGCAGTGATCGTCTTCTTACATAGCCAAGTTTTGGCTTTTTTGTGTGTATAGTCATCTTTTAGGAAGGATATATTCCTAGAATAGTAATGGTGATCTTTTTTGTTTGTTTTTATGTGTATTACATCATTTTAATATAGAGTCCTTGATTGGGGTTGGGGAATGACTACTGTCTTTTCTGTTAATGAGATTACAATGTTGTAACATAGGGGACAATTAAAAAAATTTGTCCAAGGTTATGGAGTAAGGAAATTGATTAGCTGGTATTGTTTTCTCAAAATCTCATAATTGGACCTTCGGTTTTGAAGGATATTTTTCCTCGGTGTAATGTTGACTGTACTTTTTTTCCCCCCCTCAGTACTTCAGTAACTCCATTAAATTGTCTACTGGTATACCTGGTACTTTTCGTTAAATGCTAGGCATTGAATATGAAAAACCTATAGAGGTATTTTAAGGATCTGGATGGTGTCTTTAACCTCTCTAGAGAGTTGACTTCTGGCAGGCAGATCGTAGTCGTTCTGGCAGGAATTGAGCTGATTTGAATTTGGGCTTCAGTCTTGATGAGGACTGGTCTGTGTATGGTTTGCCCTTACGCTGCTGAAAGCACCAAGTGTCTACTAGTAGGACTCTTCCTGGTGTGCTGTGAACTCCATTTTTGTCCCTTAGTCCTATGATACTGCCAGAAGCTGTTCTCAGCTCGTCTACCTCTTGCGTATTGCCTTACAACTTGGAAAATGCTTTGAGGGGAAAAGCATAGATAGCCACATTCATTTCTTGCTACTTCCCTAATCTTTGGGATCTTTGCCTCTTTGTACTTGCTTTTTATTAGCTGTGTGTTCAGCTTTTCTATTTGTTCCTAGAAAATGACTAGTCTTTTAGCAAGTCATTCATTGTAACAAGTAGGAAGTGAGTTGCTACAGTGGTTCCAGGTCTGACCCCTGAGATTTGAAGTAGAATTGCCAAAAATAAGTTTGAAAATCTTGACCAGGATAGTTCTGTTAGTAATTATATGGTGATTAAGTCATGATCTTTGTTGATTTCATGGCTGTTCTTCCATATTTATCTTTGAAAATTAATGGTGCCCTGAAGTGAAGGAACATATAGGCATTGTATCTTTTGGTCCTTTCAGTCTCCCCCCCTTTGGCCAAAGCTGTGAAGTACAGAAACTGTGTTCTGCAGCAATATTTTAAGCAGCTCACAGTAAAGTGAGGCTCATTCTGCACTTTATTAACCTGATTGGTTAATGTATTTTTTAAAAATATCGAAAGGATTGACCTAGATTCCGTGGTACCCATGTTAACAACAGCCTAACTGAATACTCTACTTTTTTAGGTTTTGGACTGATCAGTAATTTTGCAGTATTTGATAGGTTTTATGCCTTTGGCTGTGCTAGTTTTGATGATTTTTTTTTTTACAAGGATCAAGGGTATGACTTTAATCTTTTATCTAAATTCCTCTCCTCTCTGCTTGTTTTATATGTATTTTTAATAGAAATTTGGAAGCTTAAAGATGAGAATGATGGTTTTATCCTCCTATGTGTTCCCCTCCCTTTAAAGCAGATTTTTGTTAACATTCCAGCCTCAAGCTCGTCAGATTATATTATTAGGTGCAGAACAGTTTCGGTCCTGTGAAGTGGGAGAAAAGTCAGGAGTGTGTATTAAACATTCATGGACATGCTTGACTTATTTCCTCTTCTCCCAGTTTTCTTGAATAATATTTTAATTTGTTAAAACAATTTATGCTGTGCTTATAAGATAGGATTTCTTCAGTCCCACTCCCACCCCAACCCACGTCCCTTGACATGTCTCATAATCCATGATCCTTACTCAGAATACCAGTGTTGTATTTGCAGGGAGACATCTAGGAAAGCCAGCCCTTGTTACTAATCTTTCTTAGAACCAAAGGAATAAAATATGACTCAAACAGCAAATATAGATAGGAAAGGACTTACAATATTAATAGCACCTAGAAAATAAGTTCTTAAGACCTTGTAACAATGTTTCTTAATTAAGCTTTTAATTTTGAGTTAAAAATCTAAAAATTGTAAAATTGACATACAGTGTTAAGAATTCCCACATAACTCTTTACCTCATTTACCCTGATGGTAACATATTGCAAAGCTGTGTATCACAACCATGGTATTGACACTAACAGTCAGGATACAGAATATTACATCCCTGTAAGCATTCTTCATGTCACCCTCTGATAATCACACATACCTCCTGCCCTTATTCCTTCATCATGGGTAACAACTACTTGGTTGCCCTTTCTATTACTTTCTATTCACTTAACATTCACAAAAAGGTTTTTATGTGAGCATAAGTTTAATTTCTGTTACAAATGCCTAGGAGCATAATTGCTGGGTGGTATTATACATGCATGTTCACTTTTTTAAGAAATTGCCAAACTATTTTCCAGACAGGCTGTGCCATTTTTATATTTCACACCGGCAATGTATGAGTGATCCACTTTCTCTGCACCCTTACCAGCTTTTAGTATTGTCACTTTTTTTAGGTAGGTGTGTAATGATCTCATTTTAATTTGCATTTCCTAATGCTTGATAATGGACAGTTTCATGTGTTTATTTGCCATCTGTATATGTCCTTTTTAATAAAATGTCTCTTTTGCCATTTTCTATTATATTTTACCTTCTTAAGGCGGGATCTTTTGTAGAGCATAAGTTTTATTAATTTTGATGAAGACTTACTCAGTTTCTCAGGTAGCTAATTTGTCAGCTGCTTACATCCTTTGTCCACTTAGCATCCCAATGTAGACCATTGTCTTCTTTTTCAATTTGTATTTACTCTTCATATTAAATAGTTATTTTATTCTATTTGGACTCATAGTTCACAAAGCATTTTTTAATAGTCCGTACTTAAGAATATTCTAGACAAAGCAGAAAATGATCCTAATTTGATTTTTCCTAAACATCCTTAGCTGTGTGTGGGCATCACAGTTGTTTGTAATGTGTGTGAAAATAATACTCAGTGTTTTTTCTGAACATAATTTTTTCATATCTCCAGATATTTCGGTACTATGATAGAGAAAATGTGATTCATCAGTTTTGGAGTGGAAATGGTAGTTCATATCTACTGTGATACGTAAACAGGCTTAAGCCAAAAGTTACTGCAAATTGGCTTCAGTTTGAGTCTGTGATGCATTAGGCAGTGTGCTGAGTTCCACAACAAATAATGTTAAATATTGATTGTTCCAGTAAAGCATAAAACTGTTTCCTGTGAACAATTAACTTCATTCTGTCAGTTGAGAGATAGAACTACATTGTAAGACTACTACAATAAATGGCATGTAAGATGCTTAAAGTTAAATGCGGTACAAAAAAGCCTAATGTGATTGACAATTCTATTTTTTCAGTTGCCAGAGTCTGCACTCAGAGACCTCATTGTAGCCACCATTGCTGTCAAGTATACTCAGTCAAACTCCGTGTGCTATGCCAAGAACGGTCAGGTAACCCAGTTGTCATACTCACTTCAGGAGGACTGTTTTATAAAATGATATTCAGAAATCTGTCCACCTTGGATACTTTGCAGCTTGAAAAAGGACATTTACAAAGTTTTTCTCTTCTGGTTTGTCAGTATTTACTCAGTAACTTGGTCAACTGTTAAAGCTAATGATGATTATGAAAGTATCTTTGAAATTGAGTATTAACATTTTGCTTTTTGCCTAGAATGAATCAGCACATTTTGGATTAGTGGGGTTCATATAACTGATACAAAACTGTTTATCCACTCCCCTCATACTTATTTGGTAGTATTTCCAGTGAGGAAGGAATAAGGAATGGTACTGTCACCCAGTAGTGCATATTTTTGCAACTTGTATTTTCACATACATTTCTAAGGTTATTTTACCAAGCATCTGTAAACTAGGAATTAGCATGATCTTTTAAAATCAGCTTTACTGAGGCATAATTATATACAGTAAAATTCACCTTTAATTTTTAAGGGTAGAATTTGACCAGATTTTACAAATTATATAGTTGTGTTATCAGTACCACAGTCGAGTAATTGAACATTTCTTACTATATGATGTTAAGCAAGATATTTAACTTCCCAGTGTACTGAGCTCTAGTGTGCAGGATTGAGTTATTTTATCTCTTGGGCCATTTCTAACTCTCCAGATGGGAAGACTGGTTTTGCTGTAGCTTCAGCAGCACTGGGAGCCCTTCCTTCTCACTGTGTCGCAAACTCTTCTCTTGGCAGCGGTACAAAAAAGCCTAATGTGATTGACAATTCTATTTTTTCAGTTGCCAGAGTCTGCACTCAGAGACCTCATTGTAGCCACCATTGCTGTCAAGTATACTCAGTCAAACTCCGTGTGCTATGCCAAGAACGGTCAGGTAACCCAGTTGTCATACTCACTTCAGGAGGACTGTTTTATAAAATGATATTCAGAAATCTGTCCACCTTGGATACTTTGCAGCTTGAAAAAGGACATTTACAAAGTTTTTCTCTTCTGGTTTGTCAGTATTTACTCAGTAACTTGGTCAACTGTTAAAGCTAATGATGATTATGAAAGTATCTTTGAAATTGAGTATTAACATTTTGCTTTTTGCCTAGAATGAATCAGCACATTTTGGATTAGTGGGGTTCATATAACTGATACAAAACTGTTTATCCACTCCCCTCATACTTATTTGGTAGTATTTCCAGTGAGGAAGGAATAAGGAATGGTACTGTCACCCAGTAGTGCATATTTTTGCAACTTGTATTTTCACATACATTTCTAAGGTTATTTTACCAAGCATCTGTAAACTAGGAATTAGCATGATCTTTTAAAATCAGCTTTACTGAGGCATAATTATATACAGTAAAATTCACCTTTAATTTTTAAGGGTAGAATTTGACCAGATTTTACAAATTATATAGTTGTGTTATCAGTACCACAGTCGAGTAATTGAACATTTCTTACTATATGATGTTAAGCAAGATATTTAACTTCCCAGGTACTGAGCTCTAGTGTGCAGGATTGAGTTATTTTATCTCTTGGGCCATTTCTAACTCTCCAGATGGGAAGACTGGTTTTGCTGTAGCTTCAGCAGCACTGGGAGCCCTTCCTTCTCACTGTGTCGCAAACTCTTCTCTTGGCATCTGTTAAAGTACTTGGCCCGTGAGTGCAAGGGGAAGGGTGGACATTAATTATAATGCATATGACAGTGGAAGACCCTTTCAAATTCAAGATTTTAGTGATTGCCAGCTGTTAAAAGATTGCTAATCTCCAAATAACAAAAACCTGGAAGATAGTGGCTCCTGGTCTCCTTGGGCCTCAGGATCTAATAAGTTCTAAGTTCCAGTATGACCTTGCTTCACTACTGATGTCCAAGAATTCCAGAAACTTCAAGAATATTGGTGGCCATACTTTGATGTCACTGAAGAGGTAAAACATAAAAATAGTAATGATCAATCTCTTACCTTCATCTTTTAGTGACTCAAAAATATTTGTATTTCTTTTTTTGACCAAGTTTTTTTTTTTTTTCTAAAAAAATGAATAGATTTGGGGGAACATTCACAAAAGATACACTGAGAAAAATATGTTGTTGGAAGAAGTGTTCATTTTCACACCCATGTTCTTCAGGTTATCGGCATTGGAGCAGGACAGCAGTCTCGGATACACTGCACACGCCTTGCAGGGGATAAAGCAGACTTCTGGTGGCTTAGACATCATCCCCAAGTGCTTTCAATGAAGTTTAAAACTGGAGTGAAGAGAGCAGAAGTGTCCAATGCCATCGACCAGTATGTTACTGGAACCATTGGCGAGGTAAAAGTTTTGTCTTTCGGTTTGTGGGTGGAGTGTACTAGTATGTTCACCTTTTTTTGTTAACAAACTTTACCTTCGTCACTACAGAGAGAAAGGTACTTTTTTATTCTATGTTAATCTTAATTGTTAATCTAAACTTCTTACCAGTTCCCCATTATTGTTGTCTGTCTCACTTAGCTTTCTTCGTGGTTCATCATCCTTTTTGATAACACAGACCTTCTCTCTTTCTAAGTTATAACCATGGGTTTTGTTTATATATTTGTACTTTCCCTCTTGATTATAAGCTTTAGATGGCAGGAACTGTTTTTTCACTTATTTTGAGGTGTCGGTCACAGTGCCAAGCATGATGCTTGCTTCACAATAGGTGTGTATTCAGCATGAATATAAACTATCTGACAGCAGATAGCCAGTGTCTTTCTTCTCCACCCACATTTTCTACAGGTGCCATTAACAACTCAATATGTATTTATTACATTTCCTAGTCTTAAAGTCTTCTGTTTTGAAGAAGGTATGTGGCAGCATTAAGATTGCAAGTGTCAGGTAGCCTGCCAAAAGAATAGGATTTAGCCCCATAGCAGCTGTGCTTAATAAATACTAGGTCGACAAATCACTATGTGGTACACCTGAAACCAATATAATGTGTATTAATTATACTTCAATAAAAGAAAAAATAATAATAAAAATTTTTTTAATGCTAGATGAAAAACAAAGGAGAAGTCTAGGTATCAAAACCTCTTTCATCTTCTGAGGGGACAAATCAGCTACACTAAGCTATCTTAAAGTTAAGAAATGAGAGTCCACGATACGTCTGACAACCATGAAGTACTTAAAACAGCATTTCTTTTTTACTATAATACATATATTATTCTGTTTGATATTACCCAGCAAAATCCTACTAATAATCCTGGAGGAATCTTTATATGTGAACAAAAATAAAAGTTTGTTGTTTAAGCCAAAAGTCACTCAAAATGGAAGCATCTTTTTCAAATTCAAACACTGTGAAACATGTTTTGATTTGTCTATACACTGACCATATACTTGATGCTAATTGTTGCATAGATGTAGTTCTAGAATGTCCACCATCGTCTGTTTGCTTGCTTTGATACAGGGATATGAAGTAGATTTAATGTAGGCAGAGATTAAAGAACAAAATATACATTCTTTATTTGGCACACTTAGAATTACTTTTCTTCCTTAATGAAATGTTAAAAACATTAAAAAAAGATTCTAAAGATGTGAACGTGAATGAGTCATTATTTATAATAAGAAGTCATAGATAAAATGTCCAAGTGCTTTCTGGCATTCTGGTTTGCATCTGATAGTACTAAAGGTGGTGTCAGAAATTTTTCTCTCACCCCCACTCATAGGATGAAGATTTGGTAAAGTGGAAGGCATTGTTTGAGGAGGTCCCTGAATTATTAACTGAGTCAGAGAAGAAGAAATGGGTTGGCAAACTTAATGAAGTTTCTCTCAGTTCTGATGCCTTTTTTCCATTCAGAGATAATGTTGACAGAGCTAAAAGGGTAAGTATAGAATTGGTGTGTATTTGCATAGAATTGATCATTATGTAGAAACTATTTCAGAAATCCTGCTTCTGATTTTTAAGTTTTATGAGTTTTAAATCCAAACTATGGTAATGTGGTATGCCAATAATATTTAATTACTGACTTCTCCATTTCACTTATGGATAATCCAAATCCTGTTGTTTTGCCTTTTGACTGAGTGGATCACTCTGCAGTGTGAATCATTGTTAACTACACCTTTGAGAGGGCATTTTGGTGTTTTGCATGTTCTTATGTAGGCTTGTGTGTTAAAGTTAGCCTCTGTTCTTCTCTCAGAGTGGCGTGACGTACGTCGCTGCTCCATCTGGTTCTGCTGCTGACAAAGTGGTGGTTGAGGCTTGTGACGAGCTGGGAATGATCCTGGCTCATACAGATCTCCGGCTCTTTCATCACTGATTCCATCATGCATTATTTTTTGGGATGATAATGTGTCAGTGAAAAATCACATGTGAAATTCTGAAAATACCTGCTTAAAAAAATAAAATGTTAAGTTTTAATAAACCTGGATCCCTAGTGTTTGGTTGTATTTAAAGTCCCATGCAGTTTCTTTAATTGCAGTTCTAAAAAGGTCTGTTGTTTACTTTCAAAACAGCAAATTGTGTGCTGTGGACTAGAACCTTAGATGGTATTAGTAAGTTGTCTGTTGACCATATACAGGTATGACTAGTACATACTTTTCCCTTCATGCTAAGTAAAATGGTTCCCATAATTTCAGCAAGTCCTTGGTGTCCCCTCTGATTACATAGAAATGATAAACAGTGCTTGCTGTCCAGTATTCCATTTATAGGTTTACCCTCAAACGAAGACATGGTAGGAGGACAGTGGCTCCCTGCTTTGAGACACTGGAGCATTTATGTGCCCTGAACACATGCTCCTGAATGTTCATGTATGTTAACACCTGTAACCGACTGAAACCTTTTGTTATCTTTCACCTTAATAGATGAATCTTTCCTTATGATGTCTTCAAGCCACCTCTTTCTAAATTAAAATTTCTGAAGTTTTTTTTTAAGGTCCTCCTCCTAGACATTTATATCATGACTGAACTTCCAGCCCTTGTGTAGTTCCTCCCTCACAGAAACAGGGCTGACATGAGTGCCAATGAAGTACTCAGAAAAAATGTGTGACTAATGGGGCTAGGTCATAAAAAGCATTGCACTCCAGCCTTAGTTTCTTGGATTACTTGCTCTGGGGTTAACCTGCGTGATGTTGTAAAGACATTTAGTCAGCCCTCCACACAGAGAGCCTTGTCAACACTACCTGCCAGCCTTGTGAGCCAGCCACCTTGGAAGGGGGCCTCCTGCTCCAATTTTGGGCACCTTCTGGCTGCATCCTCTTGAGAGACCAGAGCCATCACTGCCCAAAGGAGCATCTCATGATGAGAGTAACTGGAAGTGGAGAAACCTGACAGACACTACCTCAGCTAGGTGATCAAGGTTAACATGGTATCACATTGATGGTATTCCTCGGCACCTTACCTCTTTGGTCTTATTTCTAGAACTATAACCCCAGTTTAGTCATAAGAAAAAATTCAGGCAACTCCTAGTTGAAGGACATTCTACAAAATACTTAGGCCAGTACTCCTCCAAACTGTCAAGATCAAAAACAAGAGAAGTCTGAGAAACTTAAGAGTCTAGAGGAGACTGAGACAGAATGACTACAGCACAGCATGGCATATGTCTTGCAATGTCTTCTGCGTTTCTTGTCCATATAAACTATGCAGTGTGGTCTGTGTGACAAAGCTTCTGAGGCCTAGTAGGCCTAAGAATATTGTTATCCTTGCTGTATATTTGAATTCATACAATGCTGAGCTCTACATTCTTCAGTACTTGAAGACCTACTCCATTGTTTTCAGGTGTCCATTGTTGTATTTAAAGCCTGAGGTCAGTCTGGTTCTTGTTTTTGATAGAACTTTAATGTTTTTATATTTCAACCTTCCCTATAACATGTCTGTAAGTGGGCTGCTTCTTGGTGGTACACTCTGGGCCCTTTCAATTGGAGGTCTTTTTTTTAATTCTAGGAAATGCTAATATTTCTTCTCTTCCATTTTTTTTTTATTTCTCTGTGGGATTTCTTTCATCCAAATATATTAGCAATTCTAATCTCTTAGCTTTTCTTTTATATGGTACATTTCTTTTTGCTCTCCTTTGTCACTTCTGGAGAACTTACTCTGGTCTTCAACTTTACTAAGTAATTCCTACATTGTATCCATTCTGTTGTTCTATCTGTTGAGCTCTTTATTTCAACAGGTATATTTTTCATGTCTAATTGTTACTTTTTCACATTTTTTGGTACCTTCTTTCTAGCTCTGTTTTACTATTTCTACTTCTGTTAGAATCTAATCAATTACATTATTTTTCTTTTGAAATCTTTGCTTTCAAGTGTCTTGGTATGTTGGTTTTTTGAGCTCATTTTTTCCCTCACCAGAATTGGCAACTCTGGTAGGCAGTGCCTGAGGCCGAACAGCCGCTGTAATCCTTTTCAGGATCCCTAGGAGTCAGGAAGGGGAAGTTTGAGCACTAAAGAGGAGCACCCCAGGTAGCAAGAACCTGTCAATCACTGACTCTACAAAGCAACTCAGTGTAGAGCTTTCAATAGTTCCTTCTCACACTTAATCCTTCCACTGCCCTGCCAAGCAGTGTCCTATTTTAAGCTAAAGCCACCACCCGTCACACACCTGTTCAAAAGAGCCAGCAGCCTATCCTTGGGGTTCCTCCTACAAGGCTCTGTATCTCACTATTTTCCTTTATCTGTATTCAGGTTAATCAGTGGAGGGAGTTAGTAGCAAGGAAGTTCAGTACTTTGGGAGGGTCTTCAACTGGAACCCTGTTAATACAGCTGCTTTTCTAATGCAATTAAAACATTTGAAACTGGAAGATCGGAGTGTCCTTGCTGTTTAAATGATAGACACAATGATCTGTATCTGTTACCAGTGATAGTGGGCAGAAAGCCCATAGCATAAAACACTTGGATCAGCAAAGAGTATATTTAAATAGGCAGAGCATCTGGGGCCCAGGAAGCAAAGTCAGCCTCCAAACACTTGTGAAGGGTCCACAGAGGGCATCCTCTACCCATCCTGTTGTCTCCAAAGGCACCTTCTTTCTGAAGCCTGGTCTGTTGTCCCTTCCCTTGAGCATCTTACAGGTCTTCAAGCCCCATGTGCGTCACACACTGGTGGTCACTCAAACCTTATTTTTGCTTAAATACTGTGATAGGCACAATTAATTTTAAAAGATAAATTGTAATAAGCCATGTCTATGGAAAGTGCATACATCATCTACAGCTTAAAGAATCATTTTTAAACACCAATGTCATCACTCACCAGATCAAGAAAAATAATATAGCCAGCAGCCCCCAACATGCCTGTTTTTGATTATGGCCCACCTCTCTATCCAGCAAACCATCTTTAGACCTTTCAGGATAATCACTTAACTTGTTTTGCCACTCACCAGTTGGGTGATGCCTTAACCTATTGGGGTTTGTTTCTGCATTTATAAAATGGGTGGTCTCACTCCTAGAGAGGCAGAACGGCACCCTGTTGAGAAATAAGTGTCCTGGAGCTAGTCTGTCATCAACTAACTGATGTTAGACCATTCTCAGCCCTTTCCTCACTTTATACTTGTAAAATGGTGATAACAGTACCCATATCTTAGGGTTGCTTTGAGGAGTAAACGACAAAATATATAAGGACTCTTAGAATACCGCCTGGGACATGATAATGGTGCTTATAAAAAATGCCAGTTATTTTCATCATGCTCTTGTCTATATGGGGTATTGGGGATGTAGAAGAAAATGACAAATTAATATATAGAAACTACTGTAAAATGTACGATATATATTTGGAAGATTTTACCTTCGTTTCCAGATACATAGGCAGTTTCTGAACTCCTCAACTTCTCATTTACTGTTTTCCCCCCATCTCACTTCTTACCAATATTAAAGAGACTCTGTAACTGAAGTGCATTTATTCAAATAAAATTCATGCAGCATACAATTTACCATTTTAACCATTTCAAAGTGTACAACTCAGTGATTTTAAGCATATTCACAAACTTGTGCCACCATCACCACTACCTAGTTCCAGGAAATTTCAGCACCCCGAAAAGAAGCCCTGTCCCCATTAGCTGGGATTCTCTGTTCCTCCCTAATCCCAGCCCCTGGTAACCAATAATTTACTTTCTGGCTCTGCTGGTGTACCTATTCTGGATATTTCATATAAATGGAATCATACAGTATGTGGCTTTTTATGCCTGACTTTTTTCACTTAACAAAATGTTTTCAAGGTTAGGATACATGAGTACTTGATTCTTTTTCATCAAATAATATTCCATTGTTTAGTTATACCACTCTGTTTACATTCATCAGTTGATGGGCATTTGGTTTGTTTCCACTTTTTAGCTATTCTGAATAATGATGCTATGAACATTTGTATACAAGTTTTTATTTGAGCATAGGTTTTCACTTCTGGGTGAAATTGCTGGGTCGTGTGGCAGCTCTGTCGTTAACTTTCTGAGGAACCAGCAGACTTTTCTCACAGCAGCTGCACCAGTTTACATTTCTACCAGGAGAGATGAGGATTCCAGTATTTCCACCACCATGGCATGTTTTTGAGACAAATACAGCTTTTCCCCACTTGGCTCAGTATCTTACAACTAATGCTGAATTAATACAGATGATGAGATTTCATTGTAAGTCCTACCCTGCAGACTCCTGGCAGAGGCAAAATTTCCTTCTGGTGCTGTGATGCACAGAGCTCTCTGGGAGAATCCTTGGCCTTCGATGTATGTTAGGTAAGGGGAGCCTGCTGTGGTGGGCAGCCTGCAGAACAGGTAATTCCAGCCCCAGTGAGTACAGGAGGCCGGCTGCCTCTGACAGCCTCAAACAATGCTAACTTCCAGCCTTTGGGGGCTCCACACGAGGTATTTTAGAGATAAATTTGGCTCCTAACATTGTTAAAAGCTGTATATCTCTAAAGAGTAAAGAGATACTCAAGGAAATGTAAAATATGCCTTAGTATTTCATATCTGACCCTTCTGAGAAACATTAAAAAAGGAATTTCCAGTTTTTGGTTTTTTAGCTGAAGCACTATTTTTCTTGCTCTCTCATTACTTAGAGTATTTGCTTCTCTCCTTTTGTAACAGATTTTTGTTTGCAATTCAGACTGACTTTAATGAGGATATGGATGATACGGCAGTGATACCTCACATTTCAAATATGAGCGCCATGGGCTCTTTAAATAGAAGTTTCTTAGTCTGAAAAACCCGTGGCAGTGCCAGGTCATCTTTGCGCTGCTTCTGCTTTATCAGACTTTGTAGTTATCTTTAAATGTTCCAAACATGAAAAGTGCCAAGAGTGGTCTTTTTTTTTTTTAAATGTTTGAAATGTATCTTCTGAAAATGGGATTTTTTAATTGTAGCCTGCCACTTCTCTACCACAGTAATGGGAATTTACTGAATAGGAAGCAATTTCAGTACTTAAATGTGCTGATGTGATGTTTCTTAATCACTTTA